CAGAAACGAGTCCGACTTACTGCCAGCAATGCGGACCAGGCTCTGACACCGGTCATACAGAGACCTAACAGCCCCTATTAAAGGGCATATACTCCTTACTCCCGGAGTACCCCCCACTGGACCCCCCGAGGGACACGTTTGAATGCCTTCTCCAGATCCAGAAAACACATGTAGACGGGTTGGGCAAACTCCCATGCACCCTCCAGAATCCTGCTGAGGGTGTAGAGCTGATCCAGTGCTCCACGGCCAGGGCGAGAACCACACTGCTCCTTCTGAATCCGATATTTGACTATCCGACAGACCTTCCTTTCCAGAACCCCGGAATAGACATTACCAGACATTAAACTACAGATTCCTCTGTAGTTTATTATGAAATATTAGCATTTTTGCTCAATAGCTTCCAGGTAATGTGATCAATTGACTCAAAATCAATATTGAATCATAGCACTCCATCATCTTCAAAAGTTACGCCCTTTTTTTTTACATTTTAAGTTTTTAATATTTTTTTATAAATTTTTATAATGAAATATTAGCATTTTTGCTCAATAGCTTCCAGGTAATGTGATCAATTGACTCAAAATCAATATTGGATCATAGCACTCCATCATCTTCAAAAGTTACGCCCTTTTTTTTTACATTTTAAGTTTTTAATATTTTTTTATTAATTTTTATAATGAAATATTAGCATTTTTGCTCAATAGCTTCCAGGTAATGTGATCAATTGACTCAAAATCAATATTGAATCATAGCACTCCATCATCTTCAAAAGTTACGCCCTTTTTTTTTACATTTTAAGTTTCTAATATTTTTTTATTAATTTTTATAATGAAATATTAGCATTTTTGCTCAATAGCTTCCAGGTAATGTGATCAATTGACTCAAAATCAATATTGAATCATAGCACTCCATCGTCTACAAAAGTTACGCCCTTTTTTCATTTTAAATTTCTAATATTTTTTTATTAATTTTTATGTGGAAATATTAGCATTTTTGCTCAATAGCTTCCAGGTAATGTGATCAATTGACTCAAAATCAATATTGAATCATAGCACTCCATCATCTTCAAAAGTTACGCCCTTTTTTTTTACATTTTAAGTTTTTAATATTTTTTTTATTAATTTTTATAATGAAATATTAGCATTTTTGCTCAATAGCTTCCAGGTAATGTGATCAATTGACTCAAAATCAATATTGAATCATAGCACTCCATCATCTTCAAAAGTTACGCCCTTTTTTTTTACATTTTAAGTTTTTAATATTTTTTTTATTAATTTTTATAATGAAATATTAGCATTTTTGCTCAATAGCTTCCAGGTAATGTGATCAATTGACTCAAAATCAATATTGAATCATAGCACTCCATCATCTTCAAAAGTTACGCCCTTTTTTTTTACATTTTAAGTTTTCTAATATTTTTTTTATTAATTTTTATAATGAAATATTAGCATTTTTGCTCAATAGCTTCCAGGTAATGTGATCAATTGACTCAAAATCAATATTGAATCATAGCACTCCATCATCTTCAAAAGTTACGCCCTTTTTTTTTACATTTTAAGTTTTTAATATTTTTTATTAATTTTTATGTGGAAATATTAGCATTTTTGCTCAATAGCTTCCAGGTAATGTGATCAATTGACTCAAAATCAATATTGAATCATAGCACTCCATCGTCTACAAAAGTTACGCCCTTTATTTTTACATTTTAAATTTCTAATATTTTTTTATTAATTTTTATGTGGAAATATTAGCATTTTTGCTCAATAGCTTCCAGGTAATGTGATCAATTGACTCAAAATCAATATTGAATCATAGCACTCCATCATCTTCAAAAGTTACGCCCTTTTTTTTACATTTTAAGTTTTTAATATTTTTTTATTAATTTTTATGTGGAAATATTAGCATTTTTGCTCAATAGCTTCCAGGTAATGTGATCAATTGACTCAAAATCAATATTGAATCATAGCACTCCATCATCTTCAAAAGTTACGCCTTTAGTTTTTACATTTTAAATTTCTAATAGTTTTTTATTAATGTTTATAATAAAATATTAGCATTTTTGCTCAATAGCTTCCAGGTAATGTGATCAATTGACTCAAAATCAATATTGAATCATAGCACTCCATCATCTTCAAAAGTTACGCCTTTTTTTTACATTTTAAATTTCTAATATTTTTTTATAAATTTTTATGTGGAAATATTAGCATTTTTGCTCAATAGCTTCCAGGTAATGTGATCAATTGACTCAAAATCAATATTGAATCATAGCACTCCATCATCTTCAAAAGTTACGCCCTTTTTTTTTACATTTTAAGTTTTTAATATTTTTTTATTAATTTTTATAATGAAATATTAGCATTTTTGCTCAATAGCTTCCAGGTAATGTGATCAATTGACTCAAAATCAATATTGAATCATAGCACTCCATCGTCTACAAAAGTTACGCCCTTTATTTTTACATTTTAAATTTCTAATATTTTTTTATTAATTTTTATGTGGAAATATTAGCATTTTTGCTCAATAGCTTCCAGGTAATGTGATCAATTGACTCAAAATCAATATTGAATCATAGCACTCCATCATCTTCAAAAGTTACGCCCTTTTTTTTTACATTTTAAGTTTTTAATATTTTTTTATTAATTTTTATGTGGAAATATTAGCATTTTTGCTCAATAGCTTCCAGGTAATGTGATCAATTGACTCAAAATCAATATTGAATCATAGCACTCCATCATCTTCAAAAGTTACGCCCTTTTTTACATTTTAAATTTCTAATATTTTTTTATTAATTTTTATAATGAAATATTAGCATTTTTGCTCAATAGCTTCCAGGTAATGTGATCAATTGACTCAAAATCAATATTGAATCATAGCACTCCATCATCTTCAAAAGTTACGCCCTTTTTTTTTTACATTTTAAGTTTTTAATATTTTTTTATTAATTTTTATAATGAAATATTAGCATTTTAGCTCAATAGCTTCCAGGTAATGTGATCAATTGACTCAAAATCAATATTGGATCATAGCACTCCATCATCTTCAAAAGTTACGCCCTTTTTTTTTACATTTTAAGTTTTTAATATTTTTTTATTAATTTTTATAATGAAATATTAGCATTTTTGCTCAATAGCTTCCAGGTAATGTGATCAATTGACTCAAAATCAATATTGAATCATAGCACTCCATCATCTTCAAAAGTTACGCCCTTTTTTTTTTACATTTTAAGTTTTTAATATTTTTTTATAAATTTTTATAATGAAATATTAGCATTTTTGCTCAATAGCTTCCAGGTAATGTGATCAATTGACTCAAAATCAATATTGAATCATAGCACTCCATCATCTTCAAAAGTTACGCCCTTTTTTTTACATTTTAAGTTTTTAATATTTTTTTATTAATTTTTATGTGGAAATATTAGCATTTTTGCTCAATAGCTTCCAGGTAATGTGATCAATTGACTCAAAATCAATATTGAATCATAGCACTCCATCATCTACAAAAGTTACGCCCTTTATTTTTTACATTTTAAATTTCTAATAGTTTTTTATTAATTTTTATAATGAAATATTAGCATTTTTGCTCAATAGCTTCCAGGTAATGTGATCAATTGACTCAAAATCAATATTGAATCATAGCACTCCATCATCTTCAAAAGTTACGCCCTTTTTTTTTACATTTTAAGTTTTTAATATTTTTTTATTAATTTTTATGTGGAAATATTAGCATTTTTGCTCAATAGCTTCCAGGTAATGTGATCAATTGACTCAAAATCAATATTGAATCATAGCACTCCATCATCTTCAAAAGTTACGCCCTTTATTTTTTACATTTTAAGTTTCTAATATTTTTTTATTAATTTTTATAATGAAATATTAGCATTTTTGCTCAATAGCTTCCAGGTAATGTGATCAATTGACTCAAAATCAATATTGAATCATAGCACTCCATCATCTTCAAAAGTTACGCCCTTTATTTTTACATTTTAAGTTTTTAATGTTTTTTTTTATAAATTTTTATAATGAAATATTAGCATTTTTGCTCAATAGCTTCCAGGTAATGTGATCAATTGACTCAAAATCAATATTGGATCATAGCACTCCATCATCTTCAAAAGTTACGCCCTTTTTTTTTACATTTTAAATTTCTAATATTTTTTTATTAATTTTTATATGGAAATATTAGCATTTTTGCTCAATAGCTTCCAGGTAATGTGATCAATTGACTCAAAATCAATATTGAATCATAGCACTCCATCATCTTCAAAAGTTACGCCCTTTATTTTTTCATTTTAAATTTCTAATATTTTTTTATTAATTTTTATGTGGAAATATTAGCATTTTTGCTCAATAGCTTCCAGGTAATGTGATCAATTGACTCAAAATCAATATTGAATCATAGCACTCCATCGTCTACAAAAGTTACGCCCTTCATTTTTTTTATTAATTTTTATAATGAAATATTAGCATTTTTGCTCAATTGCTTCCAGGTATCTATGTGTAGATATTGGCAGTTTTGCTGAATATGTTCCAGTTTCTGTGATGGATTGACACAAAATTTATGAGAACTCATGGTACTAGACTGGTTTAATGAGATACAGCATTTAGTTTAAATATGAAATCTCTAAACATGTATAATGTTTTTGTAAATACAACAAATATAAATATTCTAGTGTGACAGCTTCTGGGCTTCAAAATGTAAGCCTACAGTTTTATTTTGAAAACAGGAAGTTGGTACACAATGTAGCCGTTTTCACTCGCCGTGTTTTTACTGTAAATTCTCTAACAAGGGTGCACTGGAAGTGTTGGAGCGGCTTCCTCCGATCGCAGTGTACCCGGAGAAAAGGAGAGGTTTTCCCGTGGGAGAGAAGAGAATTAACCGGAGGAAGAAGCGGTTTGAATGTCTGTCGAATATCCAACGTAAAACTAACTTCACCGCGGTGAACAGAATTAACCTCTTAGTTATTTCCATATGTTCTGAGTTGATCAAGATGCTGCTGTACCTACCCCCTGCTCAAATAGGGATTTAATGACTTCTTCATCCATGGCAGAGTTTTCATCCATCGTCGCCACAAACGGGGCGATGCGCTCCTGTGCATATTTCCTCACTGCAAATAAGCAACAACAACAACAAAAAAAGTTTAATTAGTGATGAAGTTCTGGATCCAGCAGTCTGCAGTAGCATAGAGGCAGCTGTGCAGCTCACCTGCGTCCCTCATCATGCTCTCCTCCTCTGAGTATGTCTGAAGAGGAGGGAAGGACGCATCTCCACCTGCCTGGTTCGAAGCCACCGCCTGGGCAGAGGTTGTCCTGCTCCTTAATCCGGACTGACATGCTCCCCATGATGGCCGAGAGAACTGTCTGAGGGACTGGCAGCCAACGGGAGAGGAAACGTTAGATTTATACCCAGTTGTCATGCTATCAAAGACGTTGGTTTATCGTTTAGCAACGGTTAGCATCTACGGTCTAATAAGCTAGCTGGGTTAGAAACTTGGAAACTATGAATAAATAAGGTAGAAAATTGCTTTTTCCGTTAGATGAGAGTTTTATTCATAAGGACCCAACATCATAAGTGTCTCACCTTTGAGAAAACCCTGACCAACGGGGCAGCCATTGTTTGTTATGAAACTGCGACCAAGAGAGTTGATGATGCCTTCGCGGAGCCTTGAAAACTGAAACGTTTGACTCAAAGATTACAAATTCTTGCCAAAATGTCTAATGTACTTACTTTAAACGACAAAACATCACGATAATAAATCAATATAAATATACCTGTCAATTTTTTCGTAAACATAAACGTTCTGATATATATTGATATTTTCTTTTAACCTTATTTTCTATTTACAAGCGAAGGCAACAATTCTGTTGACGTAGCAGTGCGGCGTCGTAAACCGTACGTCTGCCATATTATGTGTGGCGAAATTTCTTTGAAAACTACAGAAGTATGATTTAATAAAAGGGTTTCACATTATGTCAAAACTAAAGGAAAAGCTTTACGTTAAAAAGCAGCAAAGACAAAAAAAATATTGCTTTAAGAAAGAAAATACAGCATCAATGCATCTGTTTATGAAATAAAAGGCTTTAGTTCCTCCTACCATTTTACTTTCTTTTGAATAAACATTAAAAGCTATATGCAAATAATGTATGTGAACCTATTATGCTCGTTTTAAAAGGGTCGTGAAGGACGTGTTAGTAAACGTGTTTGTAATTGTTAATTAATAATATCTGCCACTCACAACATGGCGGTGACATTATCGTGCGAGCTTAGGAAATGCTATGGTAGCGCCGATACCTAGCAACCATGAGCCTTATTTCCTTGTGCCGAGCATTAGAAGCTGATACGTGAAATTGGATCACAGGTTAAGGTGTTATTTATGCCTAATTGTTATAGAACAAAGTCAGATAGATGATGAAACAGCCTGGGCATATCAGCTATGCTGCTAGTGATAACTAGTGGTGATTATAAGAGCAGCTGCAGCAGGTTTCCTTCTATGAATCTCTGGAAGTTCCTTCAGGTTGAACAGAAACATCCAAGCATGGAGGAGATCAAGACTGAACCTGTGGATTTTGTGAAAGAGTTTCAAGAGTACCTGACTCAGCAAACTCAGCATGTCAACATGATCTCGGGGTCAGTTTGTGGAGGAAAAGAAACAACGGAGCAGCTTCAAGGTAGTGAGTACCAGAATGCAAACGAGGGTTAATATGTGCTTCCCAAATATTTATATGTTAAAGTTATATCAGTACGTGTATTTGTCTGCAGTTGACCCCAGATGTGAGCAGAATGTCTCGGACCCCCCTTCAGTGGAGGTGAGCCTGCCTTTGGAGGATGGATCAGATCTGCAAGCAGATGGTCTGGAAAGAACCTGTGATGGGAAATACAAGTGCAGCTACTGCAGCTATGCCAACAAGGGCATGGCTCGTTTGATTGAGCACATCCGCATCCACACAGGTCGGAGCTCCTATTACATTTCAACACCCTAGATGTTTATAACAGAGCGATAACTTTGCAGTAAAGGCTGAATTGATTGGCATTACTTGTAAAGATAAAAAGCACTTCTGTGTTCATTAAGGTAAATGTTTTCAATTAAGAAAGACTTATTTGTTTTTTACTGACATATACTTTTAAAATGTGTTTTAAAAAGGATTAAAAAAATAGGCCCACAGCATCACGGATCCTAGAGCATACTTCACATTGCTCATGGTGTCCAACATTAATCACTCCTGTGTTTGTCCAAAGGCTCTCTGATAGGCAAAATATTCTGATCGGAGTAAAAAAACAACAACAACAACAACAAAAAAAAACACACTTTTACATATTACAAAGAAATTGTTAGGGCTACCAATAACTGTGCAGCCAGTGACTGTGTTATATGCTATTAATGAAGCCATTCTGCTCACTATTGAGTGTTATTACTTCTGTTGCCCAGTTAAGTGTGGATTTATTCCTTTCACACAGGTGAAAAGCCTCACCGCTGCCAGCTGTGCCCGTTTGCGTCTGCATACGAGCGCCATTTGGAGGCACACATGCGCTCCCACACTGGAGAAAAGCCCTATAAGTGTGACCTCTGCCCCTTCCGATGCAGCGACCGCAGCAACCTGTCACACCATCGCCGCCGCCGCCACAAGCTCCTGCCCACCAGGGTGGTACGTTCATCTTTCTCCAACAAGAGGATGCTGAGCCCTCTGCAGAAAAGGGCCGGCTCGCTGGGCTTCGGCCGTCGGCCTTTGATCAACCTCAATCCAGCCGTTGTGCCAAAGTCTGACAATTTGAATGACTTATCACATAAAATCCACCAGCTGAATGGCAGGGAATACAACCACCCTCCTAAGGTGGACAAGAATGAAGGTCAGAGCAGTGGTGCAAATGGCTGTAGAGATCCACTTGATCAGCTTTCTGCACTTGCAGGTCAGTCCACCAGCCCTGACCCTGAGTTTCAAAGTCCAGCATCCCCTGACAGGCAGTCCTTAAAGGACGAGAAACCGATCCTTGTGGATCAGGTGGTCTTGTGCTCAAACGGTGTGCAGACATCTCCACCTCGAGAGGAATCCCCAAGCTCATGTCACAGAAGCTGCAGTCATGTGTCTGGATGTGGCTTGGAGACCAACATCAACACGTTCTGTGGCAGCGTTAGCAACAGCCAAGCAAGCACTCCAACTCCTACTGCAAACGCTCCCAGCGAAGAAGACCAAATCCTCCACAGATGTCAGCATTGTGAAATCAGCTTTTCGGATAACATCATCTATACGATTCACATGGGCTGCCATGGTTACGAACATCCATTCCAATGCAACGTCTGTGGTCACATGTGCATGGACAAATACAATTTTGCATGTCATTTTGCCCGTGGACAACATAAAAAGTAATATAAGGACTCAGGCATCTATTACACTCGAAAGACGTGACAGCTCCATCGGTTATGATGATAAAATTTAGAAACATCAAGGGAAATCATTTGTTTTGGGTTTACTTTCTTTCAGCAAATGACCAACAAAATGTGATGCATCAGTTGAAAGATGCTCCTTTATACAAATCTTTGTTAGAAAAGGGGTTAATGACAGTGCCTGCTACTTTCCAGGTGTTTTTTTTTTTTTAAGTAGGAAGAAAGTCTTATTCTCCTTTTAACTTCATATTTATGCTCTAATTTGAGTTAATCCATTACATAAAAGAAAAGCCAACTTAATTAAGGTATGGATCGGTTGGTATGGCACTGCGATGTTAAAAGCCAAGATAAGTCGGTCAGCGTTAGGCGTGCATTTAATACTAGCACTAAGCATGCATGGGGTAGATACAGTATATCAAGCTTTCCAGTTTTACTTTTTTTTTTAAAAACTGTATTAAAAAAAAAAACACTTTTCTAGTCTCCACATGGTCTGCAGCATTGTTTGACTGCTGAAATATTTCATTTTGTGAAATGAACAAAATGCAGCAAAGTTTGAAATGCAAAGTTTTTTTTTTAATTGATTGAGTTTCTTTTTTTCTGATCAATATTTCACAATGAGAAAGCTGTTTCACGTTTAATTCTCTACAAAAAAAGACCAAAACAGTATTCACATTTTATTTTACATACAAAAAAAACGCCTTAAATAAAAATAAAACGGCCATTTTTTATTGCAGCATCAAACCATCATCCCTAAAATTAAGAATAATGCAACTTTAAATTGGTGCCAGGAATAAAAAATAAAAGGAAATAAAATCTCAGAAAGCTCACTAACAATTCATTTCAAATAAATTCAATTAAATAATTTTTAAATGGAGTCCACATCGTTCCATTTTCCTGCAACATAAATATGACTCAGAGAGGATCAGCTGAATTCGAATGAAGGAAATTGGTAACATAAGACTTAAGCAAAAGCAGAAGTGGCTGAACAGTGCTAGCAGTAAGGAAGGAGGTAGGAAAAAGGAAGTAGGATGCTTCCTACCTAAAGTTCATTAGTTATATAGACCTGTTGGGAGGACACATAGGCACAGTTCACCTCAGTTTAACAAAAATACATTCATTTTCTCAACATATTGTGTGTGACATATGCAAATGTTTATTTTATTCCTCATTTGGAGCGTTAGTCCTGGTTTTAAATCGTATCATCCATGTGCATATCTGTCCTGGGATAGTTTTTCTGCAAAATGTTAAGAAATAGGAGCTAGGAGCAGAGGCTACAATTTGCAGCCCTTGTCTTGTAGGTTTAGAAAATATACAAAAATTAGATAAAAAACAGTGGTTTGCAAAGAAATAAATTACTTCAACCTACATCATTTTTCAGTGGATTGTCACACTAACTTAAGAGAAAACATTTAGCAAAAATACAGTTTATTTTGATTTAAATATATAGAAGCATTACACATTCATTATAAACCTTTGAAATGGTGCTAGAAAAATTATGTTTTCTGGTTTCTCATTATGTTTAAGAGGATCTCATCCTTTTTGTCATGGAAATCCCTCCTCAGTGCTCTCTGCACCACCTGCTCCACACTGATGTCCTCCTCCTGAAGGAAAACCACCTCCTGCAGGAAGTGTTTCCGCAGGTCGTGAAGGAATGTCCCTTTGCATTCGTTCAGCCGAGCAGCCAGAACCCGCATATCTCCAGGAGGAACCTGATGTTCTACAAATAAAAGCAGAATCTTGTCATTTTTATGAACAGTGACAGAAAAAAATACATTTAGCTAATGTTTTTAAGGGAAAGGTCCCAGCTGACCTCTGGCAGCCTGCATGGCCTCTGATATCAGACGCCGGCAGGCCTGGTCCGCCTGATGGACCACGCTCTTGGCACATTTCAGACGATCAGCTTCCTGCAATATCCATAAAATAATTTTTTTGAAAATCCACATCATTTATTTTCAGCTTCCTGTTTTTCTCTTCATTTGAGAAACACACACGCACCTTTTTTTCAGAGTTATCTTCAGCTGGACTCAATGGATTGGTTAGTGCCGTCGAAATCAACTCAATTACTCTCTGGCTGGTATAAAGTCACAAAGGAAGATAAACCGGGAAAAAGTCTTCATTAAGCATCTTTGAACTAATTAGGGCCAAAAACACTTCATTCTGCTGTCTTACATGTCACATTTGGTCACATCATTTGTGGAGTCGAGCAAGATGCTTTGGGATTCCCACAGATTCCTTTGTGGGTTAGGAGATTCCAAACGCTTCTCCATCTCCATGATCACTTTAACGGGAATGGGTCCAGGCCTACTTTGGTTTCTCCTGATGCAGGTCTCTAAATCACACTGCAGAAACACCTGGCAGAAACCTAGAAAAACTGGAACCACAATTGACATGAGTTAAAATGCCTCCTCAAAATCCCCGTAGAGCATATTCTTTAGGAGAGACAGCAAACTCAATTTGTGGCAGTTTGTTGTGACACTTCCGGAGGCAGGTTGGGCTGCCACGGCGTAGTATGAGCACCTGCCACTAGGCTGCCTGATAAGCTCCCGCATTTACTGCCGCCCCAAAGTTAAAGATGTACTTTAACAAAGTTAAAGTGCATCTAAGTAGATTGTTGTTTTAATATTGTGATGTTATTGCTTAATAAACTGCATTAAACCTTTTACAGAGTTCATCTGCCTATCTGCCACGCAGTACTGATAGACTGTCACTCTAGTGGCAGGTCAGGCTGCCTGCGGCGTAGTACTGGCAGCTGCCACTATAGTGACAGTCTCTGCCACTAGAGAATGTCACCCTAGTAGCAGCTGCAAGTACTACGTTGTGGCAGCCCAACCTGCCACCAGAAGTGTCACTACACGCTGCCACAAATTGAGCTCGGCCTAGTTCTTTAGACAAAGACTTCGTACGTTTTCTTGCAAGTTGATACACTTCATATCTCATGCTTGGGTAGTAAAAGTTGTCATCTAACAGGAGAAGCAATGGCATCCCATCTCTATTTAACCCTTCAGGCTGAAGTAGAGTGCTAACACATTTTTGCCAGGCACTTCCATTGATAAGAGGGCTGCTCGGCATCTCCCCGAACACTTCAGGCCGCTCCAAAAACTGCTCGATGCACTGCAACACTGCTTGTCTGTGGGACTTCCAGTTAGAGTGCTAGAAAAGACCAACAGATTCCAAGATCATTGATTAAAATCCGCACATTTAGACAACTCGAAAGAATGCATATTTTTATTGCAGTTGTTTGTTGAAAAATAATAACCAAATTACAAAAAATAATGTTTATGGTAAAACAAAACAAAACAAAAAAACACTGAAAGTGTCCAAATTGTAAGTGCGCACCCGTAACAAACTCCTAGTTTAAATCCTGAATCTCCACTAAAGTTCAACCAACTATCCACGCTCCCATATATTTGATTTTAACACCAACCTCCTCCTCCATCTGTGTGTAATAAGCCTGCTCCTGGATTAGATCATCGTAGGAGACCACTGCCGCTCTCCAGCCGCACTCCGCAACGGTACCAAGAATCTTGCGGGACAGCGTTGACTTTCCCGCGGCAGGAAGCCCGCAGAGGACGCACAGACAGACAGGGGCCCCGGGGATCCTGCGAGGCATCACTGCGGCCATAGGATCCACTAGAAGCTGGCTGTAGAGGGCTAAAGACATCTATAGCAGGGGAAGCAGTCGGTTCTTCTTCTTCTTTTCTATTACTGCGGATCGTAAGCACCTATAAAGTGCATACCGCCACCTATTGTACACGAGTGTATAGCAACCTGGGCTCACAGTCCCCGTTCTTCTTCTTCTTGTTGCATTTATTGGCGGTTGGCAACAAACATTTAGTATCATTACTGCCATTTACTGGTGTGGAGTGTGGTTCGTGATGGGCGATGTACTAATAAACATATATAAATTCTGGGGGAAAAAATAGAATTTATATATATGTATATATATATATATATATATATATATATATATATCATACACACATTCACCCTCTTTATAATCAAATTCTAGGAAATAATTTAGTTTTCTTTAAAAATCAAAATAATTATTTGTATATGTATGTATATGTAAATTCTTCCTCAAAATGTCTAATAAATGTATCTTTTCCTTAATACAGTCAAACTCTCTCCTCATATATCTTCTCTCGCTTTCATATTCATGACATTCCAGTTACACGTCCCATTGTTTCATATTTTCCGAAGTAATCACATTTGCCAGTAGTATGCTTTTGAATGTTGAAAAGTGTATAATTAAGTCCTGTATGCCCAAATCCTAACCTTGTTATCACTCGTCCTATTTCGTCTTCCATTTCTTCTTTTTCCTACTATCTTCTGAACACATCCCTACATTCTATTTTTCATAAAGATAAATACATGCTTTATGGAATACATGCCCATTTCGTTACCCTCCAGCCCCAGTAATCCTTTCAGAATCCATTCATGGCCTGCCATTATATTATTTTGTTTAAATTTCATCCTTTATACTGTTTATTTCCGTCTACCTCCCTCACATTTATCAATATTTCTTTTTACCAGTTAAATATATAATTTAATTTAGATACGTATGACCTAATCTTAATCCAGTCATTATTATTTCTTCCCATCTATTTTTCTCACTAATATTTGTCACTAATATTGATTTTACAATATATTGTTATACAAACACATTTTTTTCTCCACATTATTCAACCCTTTTTGCCACATTTCTGTTTCTTTACTCTTAAATGATTTTCCTTCCCCTTTCAAATGGAATCGATATGGCTATTGCCCCATCTAAAGAGCTTTTAGCTTATTTCATTACCTTTAACTTCTCCCTGTTCTGGTTTTAAGGGTGTAACTTTGTGATACAAGTTGGTAGGGACACTCTATTTGTGGTGGCTGATGGACATGCAGTTAGGCGACCTGAAAGCTTCCATTAGGTACTTCTATGTATTTATTGAATGCCTTCCTGCTGCTGAAGACACAAGAGAACCAAAATACACTGATGTTGATATTTAGATCGTTAGACTGATACCTTATAGTACATTATTTATAAAGGGCTCAAAAACATTAATGTATAAAAAGTGACTAATAACAGCTGATGCCAACAACAATATATCATACATCGATAGTATGTGCACAATTTTGATTCTTTCATTCATGCTGATGTTACATTCATCCTGAGTTTGTATAGTTTCTATCTTAGTCAGTTAAATAACATGCTGCTGTCATTTTGAACATTTCTGATCTCGCTGCCATTTTCAAATATCCAGTACTGTAAAAAATGTCCATAGCTGTATATTGTTTTTTTTCTTAAGGTGCACAGTTTTATATTGTAAAAATACTTCACAGTACATTATTATATTGTTTATCGTTTAACTCTTCACAAGTAGGTTATTCTTATACATTTTTCTAAGGTCCACATTTTTCTGTAATCTTTTTGCTGCTTTAAACACCAGAATTTCCCCATTGTGGGACAATAAAGGGATTTTAAATTCAATTCAATTCTGTTCTATTCTTTTCTATTCTTGTAACGATCTTGGTTCTGTTGTTTTTCTCTAAGTTTTCAGTTTCAAGTCTAGCCGTGTGTCTGGATTCATTTTAGTTACTTAGGTTTTTCTGTCTGTCCTCTGTTGCCCCCTTGTGTTATTTTCCCTCGGCTTCCTCATCAACTCTAGTCACACCTGCTCCTTATCAGCTCATTAGTCCTAGCTTTGTTCAGTCAGCCATAAATACACTCCCTCTGCAGTCCCTCTTTGCTGGTTCCTTGTCTTACCTTTTCTCACCCTGGCTCCTTGATGGTTTTCCCTTAATGTCTCAATGGTTCTGGTTTGTGTTTGATTTTTATGTAGGATTTTTGGATACCTGTTTTTGTTTAACATTTTTAAGTTGGATTTTTGGATTCCTGTTTTTGCTGCCTGATCTTTAATCCAACCTTTTAAGAGCTCACCTCTGCCTGTCAGCCTCTGCACCTGGGTCCTCATTAAAAACCTCCAAACAAACCGTGACAATTCTATTCTATCCTATTCTATTCTTCTATCCTTCTATCTATGAAAAACTAAAGGAAGTACAAATATTGCAATTCTGTTATAAAGTAATATGTGTTATATCGTAGAAAAAAGGAATCTCCACAACTGGATTTGATCTAACCTTTTAATAGAGGCTCAATACACAACAAGACACACACTTCAGTGTGGAATAGTTTATACCCAATGCCAGCCAAAAACAAAGGTGCTTCCTGAACTTGATTTGCTTCACAATTGCTTTAAGGGAGTGGTGGCCTAGTGGTTAGGGCATTGGAATCCTGAGGTTGTGAGTTTGAAACCCACTCCCACGAACTGCCACTCTGGGTCTCTGAGCAAGACCCTTAACCCTCCCAGGTGCTGCACAGTGGCAGCCCAGTGCTCCTTAAAATTAATTGTTTAATTGCAGAAAGTTCTCCATTGTGAGATCAATAAAGTTCAATTTAAATTTTTTCAAAGAACAGTTTGCTCCCTTCCTAGTGGAGCCAAATAACAGTCCATCCCCACAATCTACAACAGGATTCAACTCAGTAAGTAACTTAGGAGGTTTGCATTGCATACTAACAACCGCCAAGATCCACAATATGAGACCTTTAAAGTATGATCTGGTTGAATTGTCTCTGTAAAGTGCCTTCAGATGACATGTTTTGTGAATTGGTGCTATATAAATAAATCTGAATTGAATTGAACATATTTCGGTAGGATATAGAAAACTGCATTATTTTCTCATATGCTGCTTAAACTACCTTTTTTGATAAAAAAGCTGATGAGATCAAATATACAACCGAGCTGAGCTTATATACAAAAATGAGGCAGCTATCTCTGCAATATGTTGCAATAACTTGCATATAATAAACTAAGACATTGAATAGATGAGCTGTTTGCCATGAACACCACTATGGTATATATTTTTGTGGACAATCCACTTAAGATAAAAGAAAATTATTCTTGGCACCCAGTTACATCCACCTATTGTCTGAAAGTTTAGTCAAAAAAAAAAAAAAAAAAAAAAAACTCACCTTACAGTGACTGGAAAGGATTAAAAACTGGTGATGTAACAGAACTTTCTGAATGAAAACAGTATAGAGGAGCTGAGTCTGAACATCTAAACTCTGAGAAACTTCTAAAGGCACATTTTCAAGACGTTTGTTCAGATGAAAGCGACTCCAGCTGAGGATTCAAGGGGTGAGCATTATATAAGGAGGAAATAAAACAAACACTGAGGAATGTCCACGTGTAAATCGTAACGGCCTCTGTCTTCAGCAAAGAACTTATATCGTGCATTTTTATAGCAGAGCAGTTAAGCCATTTAGGGTCTTTATCTGGATAAAGCTCCCCAGGCATTGGACAAGTCAGCAACTGCTCACCAAGGGAGTGTCTGAAACACAGATATCCAATTTTATTGCAATGTAAAAAAATTGCAACAAATAGAGAAAAAAGTGTTATTTAGTGCCATTGGCTCTGAGACACTGAATGTCCAACATAAACCTAACTTTGGTCTTCTGTGTTTTACACAGAGACATCCAGCACCTTTCAGTTACAGGACGGACAGGTTTTCTGCCTGGAGGTGGCTGGATCCCCCACTGATCTCCGGTTTGTGCCCAGAGAGGGAAAAGCTGGAAAGTCCCCCTCCTCTCGAGAGGGCAATCAGCGTGTCAGCTGATATGCCCCCAAATTCAAACGCAAACGTCCCATAGAAGAGCATGATGATCATGCAGTAGACCCACTCGAAGATGGCAGAGGTGTGCTGCAGGACGAAACTCTCCTGGCAGAAAAAAACTCCACCTGGTAATGGTAGGGTTAAGGAGAGTTGATTATCTCAAACAAACCAGTAATCCATAAAGTTACATAAATCTCATCCAAGGCCATTTTATCTGAGATGGCAATAACAACTGCTATCTTAGCCTGGTTTGAGCATATTCCAGATCAGCTGGCACTGCACCACTTTAAGCTAAACTCTCCTGAGTTGCAAGTAGGGGTGAGTATTGGCATAGGTGTTGCGATACGATACATACCACGATACTTGAGTCACAATATATTATCACGATATTGTGATATCACTATATATTGTGATATTTTTCCCAACAATGAAAATTAGATTAATGGATAAAAAGCAAGTACTGTAAATGATCATCAGACGATATTGATCATTTAGTTATTTTGGTATCCATGTTGTTTGGGTTTGAGTTAGTCCACATCACTGTTACTGCCTCAACTACAGATATGGTGCTGTGACGCACAGGAAAAGGACTCCACAGCTTGATCTGCCAGAGTGGCGGTGCAGAGGTAGCCCCTATTCCATCATTGTTAGGTAAAAAATTTTGTTTTTTAATTTTTTTTTAATGAATAATAGGAACTGAAAGATCGATATTATCAGGCAGCCGAAAATCGTGATGTATTGCCAAATTGATTTTTTTCCCACACCCCTACTTGCAAGAGAATTTATTTCAAATCTAACTTTAACTGTAAGTTGTAAAAATATAGACCCTGAAGGATTAGACAGCTCAGGATGACATTAGAAAAGTTCTCTATATGTCACTTGTGCAAAAGCACAATGAAGAAAGTTAATAATTTTTCATTTATTAAATTTTAATATTGTTTTACTTGTATGTGAAGCAGTTAGTTCTCCATCAGTGGGTTATGTTAAAAGAGGTTAATTATCTCTGAAGCAGCAATGATAGT